GGGCTGCAGCCAATCAATGACTCTCATCATTGATGTTTCTATCTCTCTCTCTCCCTCTCCTTTCCTCTCCCTGAAGTCAATAAAGATATATTTAAAAAAAATAAAAATATTATCTCAGTTCTATATGGATGGATTCCATTTGGTAATATTTTGTTAAGGATTTTTGTGTTTATCTATATGAGAGATATTGGTCTATAGTTTTGTTTTTATTTTGTTTTCTTTAGTAGTATCATACTTTGGTTTTTGGCATCAAGGTGGTGTTGGCTTCATAGACTAAGTTGGGGAGTGTTCCTTCTTTAATTTTTAGAAGAATTTGTATAAATTGGTATTATTTCTTTCTTAAATATTTGGTGGAATGTATCATTGAAACCAGGTGGGCCTGGAGTTTTCTTTGTGGAAAGTTTTAACTACATATTTATTTCCTTTAACATATATAGAGCTATCTGTTTCTTCTTGAATAAACTTTAGTAATTTGGGTCTTTCAAGGAACTTAGGTTGTTGAGTTTGTTGGCATAAAGTTGTTAGAAAATGTTCCCTTGGTTTCTTTTTAAAACTTTAAGAATCTGTAGTGATGTCACCTCTCTTATCCCTGAGTTTGGTAATTTGTGTCTTCTCTTTTTCTCATGATTAGTCTGGCTAGAGGTTTACCAATTTCATTGATCTTTGCAAAAAAACAGCTTTTGATTTTATTGATTTTTCTGTTGATTGTTTTTCTGTTTTGTTAATGTTTGCTCATCTTTATTCATTTCTTTTTTTCTGTTTATTTTAGATTTAATTTGCTCTTCTTTTTCCAGTTTCTTAAGGTGGAAGATGAAATTAGCTTATTTGATGTCTTTCTTCTTTTCTAGTGTAGGCATTTAGTGCTAGAAATTGGTAAATGTTTTATGAGAAATTGAAAACTCTTGCATATTCTGTTCTTTTTGAGTATTCTAAAAATGTCGTTCAGGTGATGTTCACCAAGTGCAGTTCAAGCCCACTACGTTCTTTGGGATTGTCTGTGTGGTAATTGTGAGATCAGTAATTGCGGGGGTATTGAATCTGTGACTTTAGGGTTTTCTGTTTCCCTTCACAGTTCTGTTAGCTTTTGCTTCATAGGTTTTTTTAATGAAAGCTGTATATAAGATTACTTTATTCCTGTATCTTGTTTCTTCCTTCTATTTGCCCTTTTCCTTTCCTATTTGGTGAGATTTGGCTCTATGTTCAAGGGCCTTTTGCGGCCTTCGTCCAGCTTTCGTCTGGCGATAGCCACCTTCCTGGGGTGGGGGCCCACATGGACGGTGCCCCGTTCGCTCCCCCCACTGCATTCCTTCAGTAGCGATGACATATTCTTCCTGTGCGTCTGGGCCACTTTGTGCGTTTGCTGCCCTTTGTAGAGTCCCTGCGCAGCCTGAACTTCACCATCCTTTCAGGTGGGTATGGGTGGAACGTTGTCCTTCCGTCTCCGCTCTTTGAAAGGAGAGGACATGGTCTTCTGCGAATGTGGGAAGGTGCACTGGAACGCCTTTTACAGTCCTTGGTCTAGTCAGAAGTCACAAAGGGATTGAACCTGATTTTGGCCCCCCGGTGCTTCTGTGATGGCCACAAAAGCAAAGAGCTTTGCTTCATAGATTTTGAAGCTGTGTTATTAGTTGCCTAAATATTTAATATTATTATGTCTTGATTAATTGACTCCTTTATTCTTATGAAATGACCTATGCTATCACTGGTAGTAGTCTTTGTTCTGCAATCTACTTTGATATTAATGTAGTTATTCTGATTTTTGGTCAATTTATGTGAGCATATATATTTTTTTATCCCATTACTTTTAATCTATATATGTCTTTATAATTGAAGTTCATTACTTATAGGTAGCAGTAGTTGGATTTTGCCTTTGTTTAAATCCAGCTTGACAATCATTACCTTTCAACTATGGTCATTTACACCATTTTGTTTTAATTTTCACAGTCATCCTTTGTGTTTTTATCAGCCCCATTTCACTAAAGAAGAAAACAGAGAAAGAATAAATAACTTCCCTAACGTAGCACATAGTAAGTGCTGGAGCTATGACTTAAACTCATAAATGCATACTGTGTTTGAGGATTCCTACTTGAAATTATTAAAATTTTATTGTAATAGGATTTCCCCCCACCAGTTTGAGATATAATTGACATGTAATATTGTATTAGTTTTAGGTGTACAGTGTAGTGGGACTCTTAAGAGAGGTTTCAGAAAAGCAGAGGATTGACTGGGAAACTTGTATTTTATAGGATGTCCATGTTGATGGTGGTCAGAAGGATAGTTTGGATGGGAAAGTATTACGTTAAGAGAATGATGTTAGGAGGATCTTTCAGTAGTTCAGGGGAGAGATACTGATATTCTTTACTAAGAATTGGCGAGAAGTATAAAGAAAGGAGGCCAGATTTGAAAAACATTTTTGACGTTGAATCAGTAATTTGATCGTTGGATGTAGGAGAGAGTGGAGAGAGAAACAGGAGACAAGGAAGACCATTCATAGGTGCCTGGCCTGTGAGACATGGACAGTGTAAGAAGAAGGAAGATAAGAGGTAGGAGGTGAATGAAATATTCTGAGTGTGAGTTTGTAGGGGCCTGAGACTTGGTGGTGCCAGTCGAGATTGCAAGGACATTTTGAGAGGCTATTCAATAACGTCTCAGGAAGGCAAGGGTAAGTGAAGATGTGACGGAGGTTTCGAGCCTGAGTTAATGGGTGAGCAGTGAGTGCAGCCTCCTGGACTGAGCTGTCTTGGAGGAGGGTGCAGGGGATGGCCTTTGTCGCAGTTCTGTGTTAAATACTGTAATCTGGAAAAAAGAGTTTTAAAGTTAGGTAAATGCATTAAAGATATGTTTTAGGTATGTATTTTAAACTGAATCAGAATAAAAGAAAAATTAATCACTTCTAACAGACATGCACATGTTTTGAATTCCAAATGATTGTAAATATTTTCCAACTCTGTATTTTGAAGAACTGAAAACCTACACAAAAAATTGGAAGAGTAGTACAGTGGATACTCATACCTTTCAGATTTACCAGTCCTCATTATATTTACTACATTTACTTTATTTTTTGCTCCTTCACATAGATGTAGACATACACTTTTTCCTTGAAGAACCTGAAAATAAATTTCAACTACCATGACATTTCAACCTTAGGTTATTTTTATTTTAAAAATTTTTAGAGAGAGGAAGGGAGATGGAAAGAGCGAAACATGATTGTGAGAGAGAAACATTGATCGGCTGCCTTCTGCATGCCCCTACTGGGGATCAAGCCTGGAACCGGGTCCTGTGCCCTGACTGGGATGGAACCAGCGACCTTCCAGTGCACAGGACGACGCCCAGCCAAGCCACACCAGCCAGGGCCACCCTATGTTCTTATCTATGTTGTGAAAAACTAAAGACATTCTTCTCCATAACCACAATACTGTATCATCACTCAAGAAATTTGATCTTTACTGATCGTATTATTTGATACATATATAGTCCATAGTCATATTTCCTGAGTTGGTCTCTAAATGCCTTTTCTACTTTCTTGTCTTCCAAGTACAAATCCAGTCAAGGGTCATATGTTGTACTTTATCATGTGGTTTCATGTTTCTTGAGCATCCTTTCATCTCTAATAGCTATTATTCTTTTGTTTTGTTTTTCCTTTCATGACATTGTCATTTTTGAAGTGTTTAGTCCAGTTGTCTTATAGAATATGCCATCATCTATATCTGTCTGATTGTTTCCCTGCGATTAGATTTAGGTTAAACATTTTTGGTCAAGGATATTCCAACTTCCCACTGGGTCATATCAGGATGTTCATGATGTCAGTTTGTGTGATTATTGATGATTTAACTTTAATCACTCGATTAAGGCATTTTCTACCTGATCTTTTTCCTGCAAAGAACCATTTATTTCTTTATAATTGATAAGTGTTTGGGGTTAATACTTTGTATTTTTAGAGAGTACTAAGTTATATGTGGAGTAAAATAGTGGATTGTGTGTGAATCCTGTAACTTGATTCTAAATTGTCAAAGTGAACAGTAGGTTTGGGGCTGATTGTAAATTGTCAAAGTGAACAGTAGGTTTGGGGCTCATATGGAAATAGAGCATGAATGGAAGGTTAGGGTGTGAAGGACAGGTGGAACCTTTGCGCCAGGCTAGAACAGGAACAATCAAAGGGTTTTAACCTGCTGTTGGTTGGGGCGATGCATTTGGATTTGAGCTTTAGGAAGATAGTTTTAACAGCAATCAGTTGGGAGATTATTATATCTGAGCTAAAGATGATGAAAGTCTGACTCCAACACAGCAGACAGAAGAGGGAGGTTTGAGAAATACTTAGGAGGTTAAAATGGACAGAATTTGGTGACCGGTTAAATGTTGATTGTGGAGGATTGAGAGTGTCTTGGTGACACATTTGATAGGTTTGCCTGACCTATTGACTCGACTGTGCTAAGTATGAAGTTTAAGGAAATTGATTTTACAAAGTGTAACAGAGACAGGGCCTTTTGGATTCTCTTACAGTTTCTCTTTACTCCTGGCACTTATTCTGCTCTTTTGAGGACTGCTTGAATGGCATTAACAGTATGGTTCTATTTAGGGAAGTGATTTCTTCTTGACTTTCTCTACCCAAAATGAACATGTATGCCTTTCAGCCTTTGGATAGGACAGATCACAATTTGGCACAATCTCTTGAAGTTCTTTCACAAAGTAGAATCAGATTTTGTTAGAAGTGATCTTAGGGTCNTTCACAAAGTAGAATCAGATTTTGTTAGAAGTGATCTTAGCTTTAGCTTTAAAATGTTGATTCTATGGTGTATCTGTTTTTCTCTCAGACAGCACATTTGATTTCCTGAAAACTTTTAATGTTTTTCTTTCTCTTTCTGTTTTTCTAAGATGTTCTCAGTGCAGCTGAGTCTTGGTGAGCAGACATGGGAATCGGAAGGGAGCAGTATCAAGAAGGCCCAACAAGCTGTTGCTAATAAAGCTTTGACTGAATCGACGCTTCCCAAACCGGTTCAGAAACCACCCAAAAGTAATGTTAACAATAACCCAGGTATGTACAGAGCTCATTTCCTGTGTCACGCTGTGTGTGCTGTGTGAGCTGGCCTCTGTGTGTTCGTTATAGCAGGCAGGTGTGTAGTCAGCAGGTGTATTAAGAGCACATACAAAAGAGACAGGTGAATGATAACTGAAGGTGAGAGGATGTAGGAGGTAATTGTAATTATTTAAAAAATTTGCCTCTGTGGATACTTTAGTGGTGCATTACTGACTTTTTCAATCTTGGCGAAAAGAAATGTGGATACAAAGAACATAAAATAAGATTGAATGTTTTTTGTAAAGTGAAGATCGAAATGATCAATTTTTCTTCTTAAATATATAAAATTTAATAATTAAAATAGTTATTTTCTTTTTTTTCTTTTTTTTAAAATATATCTTTATTGATTTCAGAGAGAGGAAGGGAGAGGGAGAGAGAGGGATAGAAACATCAATGCTGAGAGAGTCATTGATTGGCTGCGAGCCTGCAACCCGGGCATGTGCCCTGACCGGGAATCGAACCCCGAAAGCCTGGATCCTAGGTCGATGCTCAACCACTGAGCCATGCCCGGCCGGGGCTCTTTTCTTGGTTTAATAAAAAATTATAAAATTAGCCTAAGCATCTTCTTACTGTTTGTTGATGTACAAATGATTGATAGGCAGTTTAGAATATTTATGTGACATTTAGTTAGAAACCCACAAATCAAAGAAAACCCTACTTGTGTATAATATAATGCTAAGTAAGTGAATGTTCTAATTTTAAGCTCCTCATAATAATAAAGTTGTTCTAATTGCATATAATACCAACAGCATTGTACAGTGTGTCCAGTAATCTATTGGGAAGATGCAAACCTGTGTTGGACATAGTGCATGAGTTTGCAGCATCGAGTTAATAATGTTTCATAAGTTTATTACCAGCCCTGCATCCGTTTACTTATTTGTTAACTTATTAATTCAAGTGGTTACCTTTTGACCAGTGTTGCTTTAGGTATTTTTGTGATGGAGTACAGAAACACATTTTGCCTTCCAACAATGACTCTGTAAATCGATTTAATTACAGTTCACAAGCTTATGCTTGTAATCAAGTCAGACAGTTCTTGCTCTTGTGGCACCTACTAGGTAGACACAGTCTCCTCTTGCAAGGACTGCTCTTTCCAGAGCTCTGTGCTTTCCTACTGCTATCCTTTTGCTTCTGTTCAACTGATTCCAGTACTTTTTAAGTAAGCTTAAATAAGCCAGACTATTATTACAGTAAAGAAAAAAAACACTATTCAGTTTGAAGTTGGTAAGAGGCTACCTACTTATTTAATTTTTAAAAATCTCTTTAGATTGCTGGTTGATCACTAGTACCCTCTGTTTATTAAGAACTTACATATATCTATATATATCTAAGAAGTATAAAATACTGATTTTACATTTGTATACATAAATCACATAACTCACTGGTAAAGGTTAGGTAATAAGTAAATAATAACAGCCATTAGTATTGTGAGTAATGGTAACGTGGACTGAGGGAGCTGAGGTGCGATATGGGCCTTGACTGGACAGAGGGCTGGCGTGGAGGAAAGGAAAGAAGACTCCTCTGAGGAAAGGCACTGAAATTGGAATCTGGACAATGAGTTTGGTTTAAAAAAATTGGTAGATGGTTTTTAGTTAGAGTAGGTAAGTGACCATTAAGAGATGAGACTGAAGATACAGTTAGGGAGTGGATTGCCACGGGCTTGAATGCCAGCTTCAGGAGATTAAGTTTTATCTATACAGCAGGTCCTCGAATGACGTCATTTTATTAGATGCAGGAACTTAACTCTTGTGTATATCACTTAGCCTATAGGAAATTGGTTTCCTTATACACCGTTTAGCTTAAAGTCAAAGAACTATTGACGATGTTAAGTGAGGACTTGTGTAGTTTGGTGGATTGATATTTAGGAGCTGATGGATATGTTCAAAAAAGCATGTTAGAGGTTCAGTTTGACATGTGAATGGGAGGCAGAAAATACTAAAACCATGGTCTCTTAGGAAACCCCTGCTATAGTTTATGGGTGAAGAAAAGACAAGAAACTCATATGCATTGAGTACCATCTGCCCCTACTCTGCAGAGGTGTTGGGAGTGGCGGTTGGAATCAGGACAGGTGTTCCCAGTCCAGTGGCTGCAGCCACGGGAGTGCAGCGCTCTCCAGGGCGGATGGTGTGAATGGAGCCAGAGCGGTGTGAGCCGAGCTCTGGGTCAGGTCCCCCTTGGAAGGTTATTGCAGGAGGCACACCAGCTGGGGAGCCAGGGGAACGGAACAGGACTGAGTCTGGAGGGCCAGAGGAGATGCATTTCCACTGTTGAAAGTTGCAGAGGGCTGAGATTGAGGTAGATTTGGGGGGTAAACTTTCAGAATGGAGTATAATAGAATGTGTGGGCAAGCGCACAGGTTCCACCGTAGAGCCCTGGTGGATTTTTGCTCTTCGATTGCTTTACCAGTTCCACAGGCTTTACCAGAGCCTCAGCCCTTTCGAGTGGTTGCACAACTCCAAAGGGAGCACTGTTCTGCTCTCTGATGTCTTACATTCATTGTGCCTGCTCGTTGGGACCATACACTTGATAGCTTGTTTTTGTCAGTGTTATGTTTGGGAGATTCATCTGTGTTGTGTTTAACAGTAGTATCCCAGTGCTCCATAGTATCCCACTCAGGAATATCCCACAGTTTACTTAGTCATTGTCCTGTTGAGGGACAGTTGGGTTGTTTCCAGTTTGGGGCTGTTAGTTAGAAATAATACTGCTGTGATCACTCTTGTACCTGTACGTCTCTTGGGGATGTACCTAGGATTGCAGTGGTCGGGTCATAGGTTATGCATGTGGTCATTCTTAAATCAGAAAACGAATTAAGGCCAGAAGTTGATGAACGTCACAAGAAGACAGGTGTCTTAGTCGCTGTTTTTGCATCACAAGCTTTCATTTTTTCTGTTGGAAAAAATAAGAAAGCTATTCAGGCATGGATTAGATGCAATAAAGAAACCAACACAGTTTTGGCCAAATTGTGTAGTAGATTGCAGTAACAGTGAAATGATGTTCTTGAGAGAATTTTCCTCAAAGTTCGACAGGAACAACTCTGACCATTCTCTTCTCTCTCCTATAATCCAATTGCCATTAACAGAACGTATCCATTTAAAGCAGTTTTGGGTTACCCAGTTTGGAGACCCAAGCAGTTTTGGGTTACCCAATTTGGAGACCCATGCTTAATTCAGTGTTAAATTTTATTATTCTGTTTGCCCTATATGTTCACCATTGCATTTAAGTATCTTCTATTTTGATTTTATTTTGAAATCAGTAAAAGCGTCAGGATGAGAAAAATTGTACATAATCCTATAGGTGGTGTAAGCCTGTGGTCCTAGCACCTCAGGAGGCTGGGGCAGGAGGAGTGCTTGAGCCCAGGAGTTCTGGGCTGTAGTGCCCTGTATTGATGGGGATCAATGACCTCCTGGGAATGCGTGTGACCAGGTTGCCTAAGGAAGGGTGAACCCGCCAGGTCAGAAACAGAGCAGGTCAAAACTCCCTTGCTGACCAGGAGTGGGGTTGTGTCTGTGAATACCATTGCACTCCAGCCTGGGCACACAGCCAGACCTGTCTTGTCTGTCCCTCCTCGATTGAGGGAACCTGTGTCTCCTAAATGAATTAGCAAATGAATGTTTGCCCCTTTCCAAGTTCATACTTACAAAAAATACATACATAATATATGCACACATCATATCAGACGTCATTTTCCCTTCCTTGCCAATGTATGTTATCTTCCAAAATTTTTAGCAGTTCTTGTAGGGGGTAGAGTAGTAGTAGTTCATTGTGGTTTTAATTTGCCTTTCTTAGTGACGAGTGGAGCTGAGCCCCTTTTCATGTGCCTGTTGGCTCTCCTCTGTTGTAGGGTGCCGGTTGAAATAATTTTCCCATTAAAAATGGCATTGTCTGTTTTTTAAGCTTTTCTGTTTTGTTTTGTTTTGTTTTTACTTGTAGGGTTTTTACGTATTCTGGATTCGTTTCCTTTGTCAGCTCTGTGTATTGCAAATATCCTTCCATACTTTTAATGTGCATTTTGATGAACAGAACTTTTAAATTTGAATGAAGTCTAGTTTACTGGTCTTTTCCCTTATGGTTAGTGCTTTTGTGTGTGCTACGACATCTTTGTCCCCCACAGAGTTACAAAGATAACTTCATAATACTTTTAGAAGCTTTGTCATTTTATCTTTTAAATTTAGGTCTATGGTCTGTCAGGATTTAAGGTTTATGTATAATGTGAGGGTCAGGATTTTTCTCCTTTTTAACATACATTCAGTAAACTCTGTCCCATTTATTGAAAAGACAATCCAAAAAAAAAAAAAAGACAGTTGGATTCATTGTACGTCTGCCAGGCTTCTCTCTTGTAAAGTTAATAAGTCTATTTTATTGTTAAATAATAAGTTAATAATTATTTTCTGAGGAGACACTTTGAGGCTATATGAACATTCTGTTTTTCATCAAACCCTCCCTCACCCATCAGATTTCTCGCCCATTGGTGATTCTTGCCTGAATCAATTACTGCTCTGAAGAATGCCAGAGTGATTTTTTACCTTTTGTGATTTAAAATAACAGAAATGTATTCTTTCCCAAAGGGCGATTTTTAAATTCCAGTGTTCTTCTCAGATTTATTAGTTGGCATTTCTACCCAAGAGCTTTCTCTTCCCCCTTGTTTTTTCATTTGCCCATTTATTATCATTATAGACACTTGCATTCCTGTTTTACTTAGAGGCTTATAATATGTCATTTATTTTAATTCTCCACCTGCCCCAGATCTTGCCAGTGATACGGCCCCTTCCAGGTCATTCCTGTTTCCTTCTGCTATCTTCCCCCTCCTTTGAGCACTTCTTTCTTTCTGATACAATAGCTGTTCCTCGGTCATCTTGTATTTTCCTTGCTCTGGCGCTGGCTACTTCTCCAGGGAGCCCTGGCTGATTAACATCAGTTCATTCTTCAACAGATATTTATTGAGTGACTACTGTGTTCCAGGGACTATTCTAACTTTCCACAAAGCTGTGTCCTCAACTGTCAGTAAAATGTTGCTCCTTGAAAACGAGTTGTGGCAATTTCCTTTCTCCTGTCACATCCTAGGAATCCGCAATTGTAGCTCTAGACGTTTGTCTATCTAATTAATTCTCCTTTTTATATTTATCACTGATAAGTGTAGAAATTTCCTTTAATGTGTCTGAAAACCACTGAAAACTGGTCGTGTGTTCACATAACAGTGTTGTTTATACCCATGTGATGCATGAGGATTCCCGTGTAATGATTATGTGTGTGTAACCTGTGTCCAGCTCGCACCTGCTGAGCATCACCGGAGGGAGCTCAGAGCTCGAAGCTCCTCTCTGAGCGTTTTGTGGGCCGCGTCGCTGCGTGGTCCCGCTCTGACGAGACAGTTGGCGGTATTTCGCTCTAGAAGAGGGAGCCTTTGCAGCACGGTGTGTGCTTTTCTGCTTATCTTCTCTCCTTCACAGAGACCCGGCTTGGACTTGACACTCTTGGTGTCTGTGTGATTATTGCAAAGGAGAATTCAAAATGACATGAATCTTACAACTGATTCACATGGTAAAAAACTGAAGTCCTTATGAAGTAAGAAAACTGTAAACTTTTAAAGGCATGGACTGCCCTTTGGTGTTGATAGAAATCTTTGGAAATTTGTTAGGCTATCTGTAATAAAGTTAAACATAAACCTACTCTGCGACATAGCAGTTCCACTGCTAGGCCTATACACCCAAGAGAAATGAGTGTATATACACGAAATACTTATTTCTCAAAGTTCAAGGTGGCCTTTTACTTAATAGCCCCAGACTGGAAATAACCCAGATGTCCCAACGACAGCAGAATAGATAAGCTGGTATAGTCCTTCTTTGGACTCTTCAGTGATGACAAGTTTGAAATACTGATGTATGCAGTAAAACCGTGATGTGGAGTGAAAGAAGCAGGACAGCGCGACACACACTCAGACCTGAAGGACAGACAAAGCTGGCCTGTGATGACGAAGTCCCAGTGGGCAACTTGGGGAGGGAGGTGGTGACGGGAACTGGCGTGAGGAGCGTTCCGGTGCTGGCACCCTCGCTCTCCTCTGAGTGGAGGCCCACGAGCCTTGCGTGCAGTCGTTCCTGGGCTGGGTGCGGGACGTCTGTGCGCTTTCTTTCTCCCTTGGGAAGACCCTGAGCGAATGGAAGAGGCAGAAAAGAGAACTCCTCCGTGCTTGCCTCTCCTCTGCCCGAGCCTGTGGGTTAAATTAGGGATTTAGGCTAACTTGACTTCATTCAATCCTTACCTCTTCTTTGCTGTTTTTCTTCTATTCCCTCTTTTCTCTCCACCGCCCCTGTCCTTCCCCCGTCCCTCCCCCTCTCAGCCTGGCTTTCCTTCCTGTTCCTCGCCCCAGCCGGGTCTCACAGGGCCCTGTGGATGGAGCCCTGGGGCAGGGTCTTGGCNCACATGGTAAAAAACTGAAGTCCTTATGAAGTAAGAAAACTGTAAACTTTTAAAGGCATGGACTGCCCTTTGGTGTTGATAGAAATCTTTGGAAATTTGTTAGGCTATCTGTAATAAAGTTAAACATAAACCTACTCTGCGACATAGCAGTTCCACTGCTAGGCCTATACACCCAAGAGAAATGAGTGTATATACACGAAATACTTATTTCTCAAAGTTCAAGGTGGCCTTTTACTTAATAGCCCCAGACTGGAAATAACCCAGATGTCCCAACGACAGCAGAATAGATAAGCTGGTATAGTCCTTCTTTGGACTCTTCAGTGATGACAAGTTTGAAATACTGATGTATGCAGTAAAACCGTGATGTGGAGTGAAAGAAGCAGGACAGCGCGACACACACTCAGACCTGAAGGACAGACAAAGCTGGCCTGTGATGACGAAGTCCCAGTGGGCAACTTGGGGAGGGAGGTGGTGACGGGAACTGGCGTGAGGAGCGTTCCGGTGCTGGCACCCTCGCTCTCCTCTGAGTGGAGGCCCACGAGCCTTGCGTGCAGTCGTTCCTGGGCTGGGTGCGGGACGTCTGTGCGCTTTCTTTCTCCCTTGGGAAGACCCTGAGCGAATGGAAGAGGCAGAAAAGAGAACTCCTCCGTGCTTGCCTCTCCTCTGCCCGAGCCTGTGGGTTAAATTAGGGATTTAGGCTAACTTGACTTCATTCAATCCTTACCTCTTCTTTGCTGTTTTTCTTCTATTCCCTCTTTTCTCTCCACCGCCCCTGTCCTTCCCCCGTCCCTCCCCCTCTCAGCCTGGCTTTCCTTCCTGTTCCTCGCCCCAGCCGGGTCTCACAGGGCCCTGTGGATGGAGCCCTGGGGCAGGGTCTTGGCTCTTTTTTTAAAAAAAACATATCTTTATTGATTTCAGAGAGAGGAAAGGAGAGGAGGAGAGAGAGAGAGAAACATCAATGATGAGAGAGTCATTGATCAGCTGCCTCCTGCACGCCCCCAACTGGGGATTTAGCCCACAACCCGGGCATGTGCCCTGACCAGGAATCGAACCCCGATCGCCTGGATCCGAGGTCGACGCTCAACCGCTGAGCCACGCCCGGCCGGGCTGGGGACTCTGCTCTTGGCAGTGGCCCGCGGCCGGCTGCCCGGTGTGCGTCGGGTCAGCTCCCCTCGCGGCCGCTCTGTGCCGATCCCGGGTTAGCTGTGGCAGGAGGCAGACGCACTTTTGTATGGTGAATGGAGTGTTAAATACTCGGTGCACAGAATTTACATTGCAAGCACATTTTACTTTCCAGGAAAGCTTAGAGATATTTTTGTGATTTGTTATATGCAATATATGCGCATCTGTTTTATTAAAGATCCTCTGTTGGCACTTAAAATAACTTGACATGATAATTTTACATTCTGTGTTACTCATTATGGAATTATTCAAACTCGTGCTAAAGTAGAGAGAGCGAGCGGACGTGACGTCTCTGTGCATCCCCAGCTTCTGGTTATCCAGGCATGACGGCCAGTCGTGTTTCTCTTCCCTCCCTCCCCTGAGTTATTTTGAAACTAGTCTCCGATGTATCACTTCACTCATGCATGTTCAGCATGTATCTACAAAGATGATCTGCAGAAAGCATTACTCGTATTCCTTTGTTCTGTTGGTTATAGAAAAAAATTGAAATTTATTTTCATTAGATAAATCCAGGAATTTCTGATGACTGACTGTATTTCTTGCTAATTTTAGTTGCTTGATTACCAAAATATATATAAAAATATTCACAGATCATAATGTTTTTGATGAGGTAGTTGTAAGCTTTCTGGGGTAAGCTCATTACTTTATAATATTCAAATTAAGCAATCTATGAAACTTGTGTGCCTTGTTTTGAAATAGTATCACTATAAAGTTGAATTTTTGGTCATTACAGAAAATGTTACAAAAACCCCAAATAGATTTCATTTGAAACGATTTTCCTGTTTACGTAGTTTGTTTATACACTCCCTTAGAAAATCATACCTCCTTCCATGGTAATTATACGTAGTGTAAATAGTGCTTGCAAGATTCATTATGGAAATAGTTCACTTGTGTGCCTTCGATGTGTTTCTTAAACAGGTAGTATAACTCCCACGGTGGAACTGAACGGGCTTGCCATGAAGAGGGGAGAGCCTGCCATCTACAGGCCACTCGATCCAAAGCCTTTCCCAAATTATAGAGCTAATTACAACTTCCGGGGCATGTACAATCAGAGGTGCGTATGTCTGTTTATGGTTTTGTTCTTATTTATTAATTTATGCAAATTAAAACATTCCTGAAACTCAAAGAGTATTTGCATTGTAAAGAATTTTGACTTTGGGCATTTTGCATGGGATTTAGATAGATCAGACTCACAGGAATATTTAACTTAAAAAAATAACTGGTTATCAAGAACTAGTTTCCATTGAGTCATGAGACCCCTATGTTTGTTGCAGGCAGGACCATATTTTAGTTATTCAACAGTGTGGTGCTGACTGCCCAGCTGGCTTGCTTATTTCCTCACCAAACAGGTGCTTAGCTTAATTAGTGTTTTTCTTAATTTGTCTGAATACATTGCAAACATGAGTGTTTATAATTTTTTTAAAGATAATTTTTCATTGTTAAAAAAAGCATGAAATTATAGGGCACTTCAGTGAAATTTAGTACTGTGAAAACAGGAGTCAGAGCCTACTTTTCTCCTAAAAGAGTTTTTATAATTTAAAAACAAAATTGTTGGATTTACTGTCTTTCTGCACATTACATAATTTTGTGATAGTTACAAATGTAATAGAATTTTCTTTTACAAACATGGCAGGATATTTTTTTACAGTGTATTATTTTTTTTCTGATCATTTATAAAAGTAATTTAACTCATTGTAGAGGATGTGGAAAGTGCAGAAAATTAAAAAGAAATTATAAATAAGTTGCAGTCCTAGAATTAACCACCTTTAATATTTTGGTATACTTTATCTTATACTTTGCATATAAATATATTTAACCAAATGGAAGTTATCCACTATGTACAATTTCCGTAGTACTTCATGGAGGTATGTATAAATGGTAAAATGCACAGATCTTAAATGTCCATCTTGATGACTTCATTTGATTATTTTATTTATGTGTATGTGTATTTATAGTTTACTTGGTGACTTTTTACATATGTGAATCATCATCTGTCACCCCCGGATCAAGAATGCTTCCGTCACCCTGGGAGTTTCCCCCTCCCTCCTCCCGGAAGCAGCCACTATGTCACCGTAGATTAGTTTTACCCGTCACTGAGCTTCATGAACTAGAGTCATATAGTATCTACTCTCTGTGTCTGGCCTTTTCCACTTCATATAATGCTTTTCTGGTTTTGTTTGTTTGCTTTTGTTTTTAGAGATTCATCTGGGTTGCTCATATCTGGGTTTTGCTTTTTTATTGCTGAATGCTGTTCCATTGCATGACTATATCATAATTTGTTCATCTCATATATGTAATTGCTTTCTTTTCACCAGGCCACCCACACTGAGGTGAGGGCCCCTCCCTTCCCACCAGGACGACACAGTCAGTTTCCCGGACACACCTGGGAGGAAAGGGGGGACAGAAGTCTAGGAGATTGTGCTCCCTTTTTCTCAGAGAACCTTAGCAATATTTAAATGACTGACTTACAGTGATCATTAATACAGTGATCATTTTTCATATCTTTAAGTAATCTTTAAAAATTATTTTTGATGGATATTAATGCTTCATATGGCCAAGGTTTACTTTATAAGTATATAAACAGGTGAAAACAAGGAATACTTTATAAGCATACAAACAAAACATACCTTTTTTGATCATTTAGGTTTCCCTTTTTTGACAATTATAAATAATGCTACAGTAAACACTCTTTGTATACAAATTTTTGTTTACATCACTGATTATTTCTTTAAGATAGATTACTGCGAGGGGAGTATCGGGTTAAAAAGAATATATTTTTGCCTAATTACATTAAAGTTTGTACCAGCTACTTACAGTATATTCCGTTGCTCTCTGACAACACGAATTGGGTTTCAACACATTGTCTTGTTTGACAGTTAAAAAGTGGAGTTTTTAGATTTTGGTTTTATTGATTACTTGTGGGGCTGAACAGGTTTTCAAATATTTATTTGTTGCTTATCTTTTGTGACTTGTCTGTTATAGTTTGCTAATGTTTATTTCATTGATTGACCAATCTTCAAGTGTTCATGTGTTCAGGGTATTACAGTAAGTCTTTATTTAATTTTCCTGCTTAAAAATAATTGGTTAGTTTTGTGTTTGCTTTTAATGTACTACAATTTTAAAAGATATATCTAATCTGTTATTTTTTTTGTTATTTCTTCCACTACTTTTATGTATAAGTTCTCGCATGTGATCAGATATTTGCGAATGCTTTGAAATTTTTTTATTGAGATATAATTGATGTGTAACATTGTGTAAGCATAAGGTGTTTGAATTGATTTGATACATTTATATTGCACTGTGGTTGCCAATGTAGTGTAGCTAATACTTCTATCATGTCATGTGGTTATCATTTTGTCTTGGTGTGGGATGCTGATGCTTTTAAAATCATTTGGTATATTTGCTGACATTACTACTCAGATGTGAGAAGAAGTTACTTATTTAGTCTATCCATAATTTGATATTTTTCGGTGTCTTGCTTGGTAATGGAAAAATTACCATTTAAAACTTAGTTCTATTTAAATTGTAAGTCAGCCATTTAAATATTGCTAAGGTTCTCGGAGAAAAAGGGAGCACAGTCCCCTAGACTTCTGCCCCGCCCTGCCCTCCCAGGTGTGTCTGGGGAACTGACTGTTGCTCTGGTGGGAAGGGAGGGGCCCTCACCTCAGTGTGGGTGGCCTGTATTGTGCTCTGTCTCTGCTCCTCTGGTCTTTCCCGGGGTGTCCCTTGTCCACCAGGTAGCTGACACCTCTCTTGCCTGCCCAGCTGAAACCTGTACTTGGTAATCGTGGGCCATAGTTTCCTCCTAAGTAGTCATCGAGAGTATCTATCATCTTGCCTGGCTGCCTTGATCTCTGAATCCTTAGCTCTCTTTGGCCCCTGGGATGCTGTTTCATTCTCTGTGGCCTCTTCTAGCTGTGGAGAACCCTGTGCAGGCTTGTCAGCTCTCAGCTTGGTGTCTACATTGCGTGGGAGGCGAGAGGGACATCACCTTTGTCCTATAGTAGCTTCAGTTTCTCGTATAATAAAACTACAGTATTTGCCTACTTAAGCACAATAGATCTGTTTGGCCACCCGAGCTAGGAACCTTGCCTGTTTTATATTTGCAAGATAGTTAATTTTTAATGTGCTATAATGAACAGACTCATGAGGGTTTTATATTTAAATGTTTATTGATTTTGATACCTATAGTCCTGTATTGAAATTTTGCTGGAGTTTTGATTAGTGAATTTATTGCTTATTTTTGATTTTTTTGTTGTGGCATAATTGATATATAACATTATAATTTATTTCAAATGAAAGAAATCTGGTGGTAAAGCAATAAAAAAATCTGACATTAACCTCTGTCCTTACAGAGCTCATGTTCTAGTGGGGGAGGCTGTCATCAGTAAGAGGCAGTTACTCACTGAGAAGGTGACAATGTTAATAAAGAGCTAAAGGAACAGAAGGAATCAGCATTGTGGATGGTGTGAGAGGGGGGAGTGGTCCAAGCAGTAGAAACTGCAAGTGCAAAGGCCCTGGGGTATAGAGTGCCCGTGTGTGGGTGCCCCCTCAGGAGGCCAGGCGGCTGGAACTGAATGAACCAGCAGGCAGGGGGTTGGGATGTGAGGATGTGACGGGTCAGCTGGTTTGCTTTGATGCTAGTTTTTCTGCTTTAGATTTCCTGTTAAGAATGCTGACATTTTTCCTTTGTTGGCAATTCCTAGTTTCACAATCTGACTGTGGTTGTCATGAAGGTGCAAGAATTTTGTTTGACTTCTCCAAGAGGTTGTGCCGTAGGCCATTTCCATAATGGATAAAGGGAATTTTCCCTTCAGGTTTTTGGAGAGTCTTGAGAATTTTCTATAGGTCACAAAAAGTGTAAAAAGAAAGTAGGGAAGGTGCAGTGCCGTGTTTCACAAAAGCGCACAGCTCACAAAACGGCAAACCTCACCGCTACTCTGTTAGAATGATAGTACCACTTATGACCTTAATTTGCAGATGACAACACCTGAGTGTGTTACAGGACTTTGGAGCCAAAGATTCGAGGAGACTCTCTTCTCCTTGTCAGGTTCCAGATGAATCAGTAGCTTCTGAATAAGGCAGGGAATGAAAGGTTAAGAAGTTTAAGAAACAGATGTAATTTACAGGGATTTTCAAAAAGGTGTTTTCATTTTCTACTTAAAATAATATTAAGTAATAATTAGATATTAAACATGCTGTTTTTTTTTAGTTTGTTTATTCCTTATGAGGTTCCTCCACTTGAACTCATTCAGAGTCTAAGGAGGACCTCATAAAAGGCCTTTCCCTCCCCTACCCTATTTCTGACAGCTGGAGAAAAAAGATTATTATTTCGACCTGGGCTGTGAAGTAGCTGTCTCCCTTTGTTACACCAAGATGCTTGAAAATGAATGCATTCAGTTACATTCCCCTTGCCCCCATTTGGGGCCCTATTCACTAACAGCTACATTATACAGTTGAAAACATACACAAACTTACAGGACAAAGTGCAAGATGTAAAGATCAGAGAACATTTTATGCTTTTGTTTTCCTAGCTTTGTTACCAAAAATGATATGCATTATCTCAAGGAACAGAATGGTTAAAATCAGCCTCCTACAATTTGTCAGTTTTGTATATTCACAGATGAAAAAAGCATTATTGCTTGGCTGATGGCCATGGGGCCCCTGGTCTGCTGATGCAGGCTGCCAAAGGGCCCCGTCTCCTGCGGAAACGGGGACTTCTGCCCGAGCAACTGAAGGTCTCTCGGGGAGATTGCTGGCGTGGTTGGATGCAGGGCGTTGGTGGTGTTTTCCTGCATTTCCCATTTCTCTTTCTAGCTCTAGTCTCATTGTCCTTCTGCTTGACTTTATTTTCCAAGAAACCCATTTCCGTTTGCTATACCTCATGCAATACCAGTCCCTCCACTTGTGTGTGAAGGACATCCTTTGGTTTTGGGTTGCTCTTTGAAAAAACAGAAAATGTTGAGTAGACTGTCCATCCCGGAATTTGTCATTCAGATTGGATTTGGGGTAGGGGGACTTCAATCGGCCAAATTTGGGTTTGTGTCCAGCCTG